TATACATAGTCCTACAGTCTGTATAGGGGCTGTGTGTATGACTGCAGACAATACAAGTATATATACATAGTCCTACAGTCTGTATAGGGGCTGTGTGTATGACTGCAGACAATACAAGTATATATACATAGCTCTACAGTCTGTATAGGGGCTGTGTGTATGACTGCAGACAATACAAGTATATATACATAGTCCTACAGTCTGTATAGGGGTTGTGTGTATGACTGCAGACAATACAAGTATATATACATAGTCCTACAGTCTGTATAGGGGTTGTGTGTATGACTGCAGACAATACAAGTATATATACATAGTCCTACAGTCTGTATAGGGGTTGTGTGTATGACTGCAGACAATACAAGTATATATACATAGCTCTACAGTCTGTATAGGGGTTGTGTGTATGACTGCAGACAATACAAGTATATATACATAGCTCTACAGTCTGTATAGGGGCTGTGTGTATGACTGCAGACAATACAAGTATATATACATAGTCCTACAGTCTGTATAGGGGCTGTGTGTATGACTGCAGACAATACAAGTATATATACATAGTCCTACAGTCTGTATAGGGGCTGTGTGTATGACTGCAGACAAACCATGCGAGCTGAATCATTCCACATATACCTGGTTTATTATTTATTAAAAATATGCATAACTTGGTTTTTGACCAACTACAATTGAAACTAGGTTACTTGTTACAAATATCCAACAGACATGAGTAGTTTTAATCCAACCCCTTGCTTGATTTGGTGGAAATTTCTACAATAAAGCTAGCTATTCACTCACAACATCAGTGTGCTGGTAACATGGATTGTGTGTCAGCCATTTGAACTTGATATTTTCATCCCTTTTAAAAAACAATTTAAAGTTTTCTTGGCTTGGAAATTGTACAATATATTTAAAATGCTTTTGCATTGGATTGAACATGAAGCTGATTTCTCCTCTGTTAAAGAGTAGAACACTTCCTCCGTGTGTTGCAGAATCCTAAAATGATTGCCACATGTTTTTGATGAATTTGGAGAAAAAACATAATACTGGAAATCATGTAGATCAGTTAATACGTTCAAACCGATGAAAACAATCAAGATATATATATAGTTTACATGTGCCAGTCACTGCTAGCAATTAGAAGAAATATACTGCATACTATCTAGAGGATGAAAATACCTTAATAACAAAGTCATGGAGTTCAAATGTAACTTAATAATTCTCAAGATGCAGACTAAGCTAATTTGTCTATGCTTTAGAATGATCTGATTTGTGTGTGTAGTTTTAATCCCAGTGTAAGTAAGTAATCAAAGGCAGTTCTTGAAACGTAATGCAAACCAGCTGTGTAATATGTGCTGCATGTTGGTTTTGTAAAAGTGCCTAGCACACTCTTCTGTTCTGTAGTTCCTACAGTGTTCATTACTATGTCTTCTAGCCTACTCCTGTCTCTCTCCTACCTCCTCCTGTCTCTCTCCTACATCCCCCGTCTCTCTCCTACATCCTCCTGTCTCTCTCCTACATCCTCCTGTCTCTCTCCTACATCCTCCTGTCTCTCTCCTACATCCCCCTGTCTCTCTCCTACATCCCCCGTCTCTCTCCTACATCCTCCTGTCTCTCTCCTACATCCTCCTGTCTCTCTCCTACATCCCCCTGTCTCTCTCCTACATCCTCCTGTCTCTCTCCTACATCCTCCTGTCTCTTTCCTACATCCCCCTGTCTCTCTCCTACATCCTCCTGTCTCTCTCCTACATCCCCCTGTCTCTCTCCTACATCCTCCTGTCTCTCTCCTACATCCTCCTGTCTCTTTCCTACATCCCCCTGTCTCTCTCCTACATCCCCCTGTCTCTTTCCTACATCCCCCTGTCTCTCTCCTACATCCTCCTGTCTCTCTCCTACATTCCCCTGTCTCTCTCCTACATCACCGGTCTCTCTCCTACATCCTCCTGTCTCTCTCCTACATCCCCCTGTCTCTCTCCTACATCACCGGTCTCTCTCCTACATCCTCCTGTCTCTCTCCTACATTCCCCTGTCTCTCTCCTACATCCCCCTGTCTCTCTCCTACATTCCCCTGTCTCTCTCCTACATCCCCGGTCTCTCTCCTACATCCTCCTGTCTCTCTCCTACATCCTCCTGTCTCTCTCCTACATCCCCCTGTCTCTCTCCTACATCCCCGGTCTCTCTCCTACATCCTCCTGTCTCTCTCCTACATCCTCCTGTCTCTCTCCTACATCCTCCTGTCTCTCTCCTACATCCTCCTGTCTCTCTCCTACATCCCCGGTCTCTCTCCTACATCCTCCTGTCTCTCTCCTACATCCTCCTGTCTCTCTCCTACATCCTCCCGTCTCTCTCCTACATCCCCGGTCTCTCTCCTACATCCTCCTGTCTCTCTCCTACATCCCCCTGTCTCTCTCCTACATCCTCCTGTCTCTCTCCTACATCCTCCTGTCTCTCTCCTACATCCTCCTGTCTCTTTCCTACATCCCCGGTCTCTCCCCTACATCCTCCTGTCTCTCCTACATCCTCCTGTCTCTCCTACATCCTCCTGTCTCTCTCCTACATCCCCCTGTCTCTCCCCTACATCCTCCTGTCTCTTTCCAACATCCCCGGTCTCTCTCCTACATCCTCCTGTCTCTCCTACATCCTCCTGTCTCTTTCCTACATCCCCCTGTCTCTCTCCTACATCCTCCTGTCTCTCTCCTACATCCCCCTGTCTCTTTCCTACATCCCCCTGTCTCTCTCCTACATCCTCCTGTCTCTCCTACATCCTCCTGTCTCTCTCCTACATCCCCCTTTCTCTCCTACATCCTCCTGTCTCTTTCCTACATCCCCGGTCTCTCTCCTACATCCTCCTGTCTCTCCTACATCCTCCTGTCTCTCTCCTACATCCTCCTGTCTCTCTCCTACATCCTCCTGTCTCTCTCCTACATCCCCCTGTCTCTCCTACATCCTCCTGTCTCTTTCCTACATCCCCCTGTCTCTCCCCTACATCCTCCTGTCTCTCCTACATCCTCCTGTCTCTCCTACATCCTCCTGTCTCTCTCCTACATCCTCCTGTCTCTCTCCTACATCCCCCTGTCTCTCTCCTACATCCTCCTGTCTCTCCTACATCCTCCTGTCTCTTTCCTACATCCTCCTGTCTCTCTCCTACATCCCCCTGTCTCTCTCCTACATCCTCCTGTCTCTCTCCTACATTCCCCTGTCTCTCTCCTACATCACCGGTCTCTCTACTACATCCTCCTGTCTCTCTCCTACATCCTCCTGTCTCTCTCCTACATCCCCCTGTCTCTCTCCTACATTCCCCTGTCTCTCTCCTACATCCCCGGTCTCTCTCCTACATCCTCCTGTCTCTCTCCTACATCCCCCTGTCTCTCTCCTACATCCCCCTGTCTCTCTCCTACATCACCGGTCTCTCTCCTACATCCTCCTGTCTCTCTCCTACATTCCCCTGTCTCTCTCCTACATCCCCCTGTCTCTCTCCTACATTCCCCTGTCTCTCTCCTACATCCCCGGTCTCTCTCCTACATCCTCCTGTCTCTCTCCTACATCCTCCTGTCTCTCTCCTACATCCCCCTGTCTCTCTCCTACATCCCCGGTCTCTCTCCTACATCCTCCTGTCTCTCCTACATCCCCCTGTCTCTCTCCTACATCCTCCTGTCTCTCCTACATCCTCCTGTCTCTCTCCTACATCCCTCTGTCTCTCTCCTACATCCCCGGTCTCTCTCCTACATCCCTCTGTCTCTTTCCTACATCCTCCTGTCTCTCCTACATCCTCCTGTCTCTCCTACATCCTCCTGTCTCTCTCCTACATCCCTCTGTCTCTTTCCTACATCCCCCTGTCTCTCTCCTACATCCTCCTGTCTCTCCTACATCCTCCTGTCTCTCTCCTACATCCCCCTGTCTCTCTCCTACATCCTCCTGTCTCTCCTACATCCTCCTGTCTCTCTCCTACATCCCCCTGTCTCTCTCCTACATCCTCCTGTCTCTCTCCTACATCCTCCTGTCTCTCTCCTACATCCTCCTGTCTCTCTCCTACATCCCCCTGTCTCTCTCCTACATCCCCCTGTCTCTCTCCTACATCCTCCTGTCTCTCCTACATCCTCCTGTCTCTCTCCTACATCCTCCTGTCTCTCTCCTACATCCCCCTGTCTCTCTCCTACATCCTCCTGTCTCTCCTACATCCTCCTGTCTCTCTCCTACATCCTCCTGTCTCTCTCCTACATCCCCCTGTCTCTCTCCTACATCCTCCTGTCTCTCTCCTACGTCCCCCTGTCTCTCCCCTACATCCTCCTGTCTCTTTCCTACATCCCCCTGTCTCTCTCCTACATCCTCCTGTCTCTCTCCTACATCCCCCTGTCTCTCTCCTACATCCTCCTGTCTCTCTCCTACATCCTCCTGTCTCTTTCCTACATCCCCCTGTCTCTCTCCTACATCCTCCTGTCTCTCTCCTACATTCCCCTGTCTCTCTCCTACATCCCCCTGTCTCTTTCCTACATCCTCCTGTCTCTTTCCTACATCCCCCTGTCTCTTTCCTACATCCCCCTGTCTCTCTCCTACATCCCCCTGTCTCTTTCCTACATCCCCCTGTCTCTTTCCTACATCCTCCTGTCTCTCTCCTACATCCCCCTGTCTCTCCCCTACATCCCCCTGTCTCTCTCCTACATCCTCCTGTCTCTCCTACATCCTCCTGTCTCTCTCCTACATCCTCCTGTCTCTCTCCTACATCCTCCTGTCTCTCCTACATCCTCCTGTCTCTCTCCTACATCCCCCTGTCTCTCTCCTACATCCTCCTGTCTCTCTCCTACATCCTCCTGTCTCTCTCCTACATCCCCCTGTCTCTCCCCTACCTCCTCCTGTCTCTCTCCTACGTCCCCCTGTCTCTCCCCTACATCCTCCTGTCTCTTTCCTACATCCTCCTGTCTCTCTCCTACATCCTCCTGTCTCTCTACCTCCCCCTGTCTCTCTCCTACATCCTCCTGTCTCTCCTACATCCTCCTGTCTCTCTCCTACATCCTCCTGTCTCTCCTACATCCTCCTGTCTCTCTCCTACATCCCCCTGTCTCTCCTACATCCTCCTGTCTCTCTCCTACATCCTCCTGTCTCTCTCCTACATCCTCCTGTCTCTCTCTCCTACATCCTCCTGTCTCTCTCCTACATCCTCCTGTCTCTCTCCTACTTCCCCCTGTCTCTCCCCTACTACCTCCTTTCTCTCTCCTACATCCTCCTGTCTCTCTCCTACATCCTCCTGTCTCTCTCCTACATCCTCCTGTCTCTCTCCTACATCCTCCTGTCTCTCTCCTACATCCTCCTGTCTCTCTCCAGTCTTTCTCCTACATCCTCCTGTTTCTCTCCAGTCTTTCTCCTAAATCCTCCTGTCTCTCTCCAGTCTTTCTCCTACATCCTCCTGTCTCTCTCCAGTCTTTCTCCTACATCCTCCTGTCTCTCTCCAGTCTCTCTCCTACATCCTCCTGTTTCTCTCACCCTGTCTCTCTTCTACCTCCTGATGTCTATCTCATATAGCTACTCCTATAGTTCTCCCCAAATGTCTTGAGAAAGAGTGTACTTGGATATGTCAGTGATAGAAGTTTGACAAAAATAAAATATCAATTTGGCTCAATAAGCAATAATCTCCAGGTAGCAGATCTGCTGGAGAGAGGCCATGGCCAGTACACTGTATTGCCTCACATGCTTTACATGGGAACAAATGTCAGACTTCAGTGGAAGTGACAAAACGAGGCTTACTTTCTGTTCAAATGAAAACTGAACCGCTGCAAAAAATGTTGATGCAGAACATAAATTATATTTATATTTCTGACAAATGATTGAAGAGCTGATACGATATTGTAATTAAGCAGAAAACTTTGTTGCAGAATGTTAAGATGAATAGTGATAAAAGTGAAGCTAATTGTATAACTGCATGGGTCAAGCAACTTTCTTACCCAATACGCTGCCAGTCTCAGCACTCTTGTAGCGATGGTATAACACACATGCCAGAATGATGATGAACAGCACTGCCACACCTCCAACAGCACCACCGATGATGATTGGCAGGGGTGGAACAGCTAGAATATGTAATACAACCTTATTAATATACAACTATCAACAGCTCACAGTTTCATCAACTATGTATTTTTCAAATACATATATCTTACAATAAAGCACTAAGCCTGCAATACCTCTTTTTCCTTTACCACTTACCTAAAACTGTAGTGCCACACATGACACACAACTGTAGTGCCACACATGACACACAACTGTAGTGCCACACAAAACTGTAGTGCCACACATGACACACAACTGTAGTGCCACACATGACACACAACTGTAGTGCTACACATGACACACAGCTGTAGTGCTACAAGGTTACCAACATGTTTCAGTGGTACAACCTACATACATGTGGTGTGCTTCACCTTACATACATGTGGTGTGCTTCACCTTACATACATGTTGTGTGCTTCACCTTACATACATGTTTAGTGCTTCACCTTACATACATGTTTAGTGCTTCACCTTACATACATGTGTTCGCTCGTCACGCCGAAGACCCGGGTTCGAATCCCGACATGGGTACAATGTGTGAAGCCCATTTCTGGTGTCCCCCGCCGTGATATTGCTGGAATATTGCTAAAAGCGGCGTAAAACCATACTCACTCACTCACTCACTACATACATGTGGTGTGCTTCACCTTACATACATGTTGTGTGCTTCACCTTACATACATGTTGTGTGCTTCACCTTACATACATGTTGTGTGCTTCACCTTACACACGTTGTGTGCTTCACCTTACATACACGTTTAGTGCTTCACCTTACATACATGTTGTGTGCTTCACCTTACATACATGTGGTGTGCTTCACCTTACATACATGTTGTGTGCTTCACCTTACATACATGTTGTGTGCTTCACCTTACATACATGTGGTGTGCTACACCTTACATGCATGTTGTGTGCTTCACCTTACATACATGTTGTGTGCTTCACCTTACATACATGTGGTGTGCTACACCTTACATGCATGTTGTGTGCTTCATCTTACATACATGTGGTGTGCTACACCCCACATACATGTTGTGTGCTTCACCTTACATACATGTTGTGTGCTTCACCTTACATACATGTGGTGTGCTTCACCTTACACACGTTGTGTGCTTCACCTTACATACATGTTTAGCGCTTCACCTTACATACAATTTTAGTGCTTCACCTTACATACATGTTTAGTGCTTCACCTTACATACATGTTTAGCGCTTCACCTTACACACGTTGTGTGCTTCACCTTACATACATGTTTAGTGCTTCACCTTACATACATGTGGTGTGCTTCACCTTACACACATGTTGTGTGCTTCACCTTACATACATGTTTAGTGCTTCACCTTACATACAATTTTAGTGCTTCACCTTACATACATGTTGTGTGCTTCACCTTACATACATGTTTAGTGCTTCACCTTACATACATGTTTAGTGCTTCACCTTACATACATGTGGTGTGCTATTCCTTACATATATGTTGTGTGCTTCTTAAGTCTTGAATTCAATAATTCGTGTTCGCATTCTGAGTGTGCATGATCTACTGTTCACAAATCTGCATCTTCCTCTACTACTGTACCTTTTTCTATCAAGTGTATGACTGCCACATCCTTGCCATAGTTGTTGATAACGCTGCAGTTGTAATCACCAAAATCTTCTTCATTAACATTTATAATCTGAAGAGTGCTTTTTCTTCCATATGGCAAATCCTCCTCCACAGCTGAGAACCTGCCAGAGGTGGCATAGTTGATAGGAATACCGTCCCTCATCCAGATGATCTTGTCTGGCTTGGGGACTGACATGGCCATACATTCCACTTCCGCATTCTCTCCTGTTATAGCATATTGCTTCACCTCACTCATTATAGTTGGAGGAGCTGCAACAAATGAAGTCTCAGGATGAAGCAGTGATGTTCAATAGAATAAACAGACATTTGTAAGCATGATGGATTTATTCCCAGTTTCATGTGAATAAAACAAACCAAGAGTTGGGCTGTGATACAACTCACCATTGTGTAGGAGGTATATGCTGTGAGTGCGTGTTGGGCCGTGATACAACTCTTCATTGTGAAGGAGGTATATGTTGTGAGTGAGTGTTGGGCCGTGATACAACTCACTGCGTGAGACAACTCACTATTGTGTAGGAGGTATATGCTGTGAGTGAGTGTTGGGCCGTGAGACAACTCACCCCGTGAGACAACTCACTGTTCTGTAGGAGGTATATGCTGTGATTGAGTGTTGGGCCGTGATACAACTCACTATTGTGTAGGAGGTATATGCTGTGAGTGAGTGTTGGGCCGTGATACAACTCACTATTGTGTAGGAGGTATATGCTGTGAGTGAGTGTTGGGCCGTGAGACAACTCACCATTGTGTAGCAGGTATATGCTGTGAGTGAGAGTTGGGCCGTGATACAACTCACCCCGTGATACAACTCTTCATTGTGTAGGAGGTATATGCTGTGAGTGAGTGTTGGGCCGTGAGACAACTCACCGCGTGATACAACTCTTCATTGTGTAGGAGGTATATGCTGTGAGTGAGTGTTGGGCCGTGATACAACTCACTATTGTGTAGGAGGTATATGCTGTGAGTGAGAGTTGGGCTGTGATACAACTCTTCATTGTGTAGCAGGTATATGCTGTGAGTGAGTGTTGGGCCGTGAGACAACTCACCCCGTGAGACAACTCACCATTGTGTAGCAGGTATATGCTGTGAGTGAGAGTTGGGCCGTGATACAACTCACCCCGTGATACATCTCTTTATTGTGTAGGAGGTATATGCTGTGAGTGAGTGTTGGGCCGTGAGACAACTCACCGCGTGATACAACTCTTCATTGTGTAGGAGGTATATGCTGTGAGTGAGTGTTGGGCTGTGATACAACTCTTCATTGTGTAGGAGGTATATGCTGTGAGTGAGTGTTGGGCCATGATACAACTCACCAATGTGTAGGAGGTATATGCTGTGAGTGAGTGTTGGGCCGTGATACAACTCTTCATTGTGTAGGAGGTATATGCTGTGGGTGAGTGTTGGGCCGTGATACAACTCACCAATGTGTAGGAGGTATATGCTGTGAGTGAGTGTTGGGCCATGATACAACTCACCATTGTGTAGGAGGTATATGCTGTGGGTGAGAGTTGGGCTGTGATAAAACTCACCATTTTGTAGGAGGTATATGCTGTGAGTGAGAGTTGGGCTGTGATAAAACTCACCATTTTGTAGGAGGTATATCTCCCTGCTGATGGAGTTGAAGCCCAGGACAGTGGCTGTGCAGACATACACACCCAGGTTTCCCTCCCCCACCTTGGGGATCCTAAGCACCGAAGAACTGCCCTGTGGATGGCGAGACCCTTTCTTTGTCCAAATAATACTGGGCAGGGGATTGCCAGTGGCTTCACACCTTAGGGTGGCTGGCTGGTTCAGGTTGACGGCTGTATGTTCAGGATCACCAACAAACAACGGTCCGACTGCAACAGAAAAACTCTCAAACTTACATTCCACACACAGGACTTACATTCAACACACAGGACTTACATTCCACACACAGGACTTACATTCAACACACAGGACTTACATTCAACACACATGACTTACATTCCACACACAGGACTTACATTCCACACACAGGACTTACATTCAACACACAGGACTTACATTCAACACACATGACTTACATTCCACACACAGGACTTACATTCCACACACAGGACTTACATTCCACACACAGGACTTACATTCAACACAGGACTTACATTCCACACACAGGACTTACATTCAACACAGGACTTACATTCCATACAGGACTTACATTCCACACACATGACTTACATTCAACACAGGACTTACCTTCAACACACAGGACTTACATTCAACACAGGACTTACATTCCACACACAGGACTTACATTCAACATAGGACTTACATTCAATACAGGACTTACATTCCACACACAGGACTTACATTCAACACAGGAC